GTTGAGTAATGACAGAGATGATACTGTTTTGGTAACATCGTCACAATGTGTGCTGTGAATGACTCTCAGCCACTACCACTCTAAAATTTATCTCAGCATCTTCGAAACTGGCTGAATTTTCCAGGTTCAGCCGACTGAGACGGCCATCTTTAATCAGGTCAACGCCAAAGGTTAATCGGCTGTGGACGTAAATCCAACAATCACTTCCTGGAAATTTCAATAAAATCCCTCCAACAATTCATTAGATATTTTGCTAACAGGCAAACGAGGCTGCATGCAAAAATAAGGTTAAAGTTTTAATTAAAGATCGGCTACTTGGAGTACTGTGAATGTCTGTCAACTACTTTTAACTTCTAGTAGCCTTTTGTCTAATTTAGCATCTAGTTAGAATTTAGCTACTTTTTTCTTCCAGCTAGCCTTTTGCCACTTTTTTTCTTCTAGGTAAGCTTTTGCTACCTTTCTCTTATAGCTAGATTTTTGCTGTTTGGCTAGCCTTGTGCTACTTTTGGCTAACCTTTTGTTCACGTATGGCTTCTAGTTAGCCCTTTGCTGCATTTTTTTTGGCTAGTTATGCTCCTTTTATGTTTAAGCTAAATTTGTGCTAGTTTTGGCTAACCTTCGCTACTTTTTTGGCTTCCTTTTCTCCTTTTAGTGACCCTGCTGCAACCCCAGCTTTTACAAAGTCTTTTGCTACTTTTATCTTTTAGCTAGCATTTTGATTCTTTCTGCTTTAAGCTAGTTTATAACACACTGACTGTTATGAGATATTTTGCTGACAGACAGCTGAATCTCAGACAGTTTCTTAAAGCACGTGATGGGAGTCAGTCTCGGCTACTACCACAGCAATTTTTAGCTCAATATCTGTAAAACTGACTGAGTCGTAGCTGTTATTTGGAAGGTTAGTTGGCTGTGGCGGCCATCTTGGCCAGGGCTGACTTTAAGTTCTGCAAAGTTCATTTGTGTTCTGCTGACAGACGTTTCCACTGAACTGTCACTTCAATTGACCGAAACAATCTTTAAATCTACCGTTAATCCCACTGGGATTATTGTAGGTGCATTTTATTTTGTAAGAAAATAATTTAAACTAAAACTGCTCGACCTTCATTAAAAAGGTCAAAAGGTCATTCGGGCAACGGCAAGCGCCGGGGTCGACTCGTTCTTCTTGAAAAGCACCGACTCGGCGGGCCGTCCTCCGTCCCACGCGCCGCATTTCTAACAAGTCGTTCAACTTTTAATATGTTTAGCAAACAAACGCCCGTTGCCGCGGCAACGGCAACGCGCCACGAGGCTGAACAAACAGACTGACGAGGAGGAAATACCTGAGACAAGGAAGACTATTTAGAAAAAAACAAAAACAGCTTTCTGGATCACAACACTATAAAATATTTTTGTTTTTATTCAAGCCAAAACTTAAATCAAGACTTGAAATGTTTTATTTTTAAAGAAACTTTGTAAAAGAAGGAAAAGTTACAGATTGAAAATTCTGATTCCCTAACAAACAGGGTTTTTTTTTGTATGGTGAATATAAATGATATTTAGCATGGTTCCTGAGCCTGTTAGCAAAATATCTAATGAACCACTGGATGGATTTTAATGAAACTTTCAGGGTTTAATCATTAGATGCACGTCTAGAACTGATAAACTTTTGGAGTCGAACCAAATAAAGATAAATCCTGCACGTCTTCTTGATTCTTTCAGATCTGAGAGATTCTACGCTGAATCGTGACATCCAATTTTTTTTTATAAATGCAACTTTAGCGTCCACATGAAAAAAAAAACAAATCCAAACGTGAGGCAGATGTGACGTTTAATTTGTTTGCAAATTACACCTGATGTTAATACCTGTTGCGTGTTGTGCAGCTGGAGAAACGACTGTCCTGCTTCTACGAAAACAGCTTTTTAATAAAACACAAACGCAGGCAGGAACCAGGTGTGGCGCTCAAATGGTCCTGCTCTCACCCGACCGCTTCCACGTCACAATAAAGTTCTGCCTAGAGCTCCGAATTTTGTCTCGCTGTGATTAAATACATGCAGGTTACAAAAGTTTTAACGAGCTGCTGACAGGAGTAGTTTCCGCTCGCAGCCCTGTATGCAAAATATGCAAACCATCGACCCGACCGCACCGGGATGACAATATGAAATAAAACAAAGAGGTCACAGACAGAGTTCATAGGATTAAGACTGAGATGGTGCGTTTGTTTTATTTTATTTTATTAGGCCTCCTGTACTTAAGTGTCTGCTGTTAGGAAACATTCTCAGTATCACATTATTCTTTCATAGCTCACCTCCAGCGGCACTCCCTGTAACTCACCCCAAACTTCTCAGATCACCGGCGCAGATAGGAAACACGGTCGGCAGCAGCTCACCAAATCTGTGTCAGTGTGCGACGAGAGGTCCGCGTGGATCTGCGGCAGACGCCATGTTTGTTCGTCCGGATCAGCAGAGACAGAAAACGAACACGCGGGAAGACGGTTCATCGTTTTTAATTAGGTGTTTAAATGCTAATCCAACAAACCAAGTTATTATTCCACGTGTTGGTTTATAATCCAACTACTTCTTCATCCCTTTTTATTTGCCACTCATATCAAAACGTTCGGCTCATTCAGGAGATGAGTGCTGAGAGGTTTTTTTTTTATTATTTTTTAAACTGCTAACTTCATTTACAAAAGATTTACCTATAGATGAATTGAAATCTATTTGGTTGATTTAGAAACATTTTTTAATCTGCTTTAGCTACTCTCTATTTTGTCTTCGGCAATTTTAAACTTCAAACTAGCCTTTTGGTACCATTAGCTTCTAGCTAGCCTTGTCCTACTTCTGGCTAACCTTTTGCTACTTTGTCTTCTAGTTAGCCTCTAACTACTTTTATACTCTAGTTAGCCTTTTGCTACTTTCATCCTGTAGCTAGTCGTTTTTTATTTTATCTACTAGCAAACCTTTTAGTTAGCCTTTTGCTACTTATCTCTTCAAATTAGCCATTTGCTATATTTATCTTTAAGCTGGCCTTATGCTACTTTTTCCTTACAACTAGTCTTTTGCTACATTTGGCTAGCCTTGTGCTACTTTTGGCCAATGTTTTGCTACTTTTAGCTTCTAGCTAGCCATGCCATTCTTTTGATTATCCTTTTGTTACTTTTGGCTTCTAGCTAGCCCTTTGCTACTTTTGGCTAGTATTGTTTACTTTTCGCTTCTAGCTAGTATTTCCATACTTTTAGTTAGCAGAAGCATATTGCTACTTTTGTCTAGCAATGCTACGTTTATCTTCTAGCTAGCCTTATCCTACTTTTGGCTAACACTTTGTTACTTTTGATTTCTAGCTAGCCTTTTGCTGCTTTTGGCTAGCAATGCTACTTTTATCTTCTAGCTCGTATTTCCCTACTTTTAACTAGCAGATGTATATTGCTACTTTTGTCTAGCAATGTTACTTTTAGCTTCTAGCTAGCCTTGTCCTACTTTTGGCTAACCCTTTGTTACTTTTGATTTCTAGCTAGCCTTTTGCTGCTTTCGACTAGCATTGGTTACTTTTCGCTTTTAGCTAGTATTTCCCTACTTTTGGCTAGCAGACGTATATTGCTACTTTTGTCTAGCAATGCTAATTTTATCTTCGAGCTAGCCTTATCCTACTTTTGGCTAACCCTTTGTTACTTTTGATTTCTACCTAGCCTTTTTTCCGCTTTTGGCTAGCAAAGTTTTTTTTTTTAGCTTATTGTACTTTTGGCTAGCTTTTTGCTAGTTAGGCTTTTGCTACTTTTGGCTATGGTTTAGCTTCTTTCAGCTTTATTCTAGCATACACACTAGCTGTTACGTGATGTTTTGCTGACAGAAAAGCAGATCCCTCTGTTGCTCAAAGCTTGTGATGGCAATCAGTCTCAGCTACTACCACAGATCTCATGGACATTTTTGTCTTTGGCGGCCATCTTGAATTGGGTTGACTCCAAAGGACAATTATTTATATATAGACGTACATCCACTGACTACAGTCAGAGCATTTCATTAAAATCCATCCTGTGGCTCATAAGATATTTTGCTAACACTCCAAAACACACAAAGACAAAAACATCAACACCTTTCATCAAAACAGATGGTAAAATGTTCTTTTTAAGATAAAAAGCAGCAGCGCAAAGCTTAGAAAGTGAGACATTTCACCTCTACGGGAAAGAAAACAGCCTGAAACACAATTTGGATCAAGTTGCAAACTCTGTTAGGTGCTATATATAGTTCACTAGGATAGTGTAGACACACACACATATGCATGTGCACACACATACTGTATAAAGTTGCACCAGAGAAGAGAAGCAGGAAGCTTTTTCCTGCCAACATGTTTAAGAAAAACATTATCACACATGGCAAGCTGATCATGGGTTACCTAAGGTTCACAAGACCACAGGGAAGTATTTATAGATATGCTGAGAGAGACAGGGAGAAAGTTTTTAAAAAAGTGCATAAATAAAATAAACACCATTTATCTGAAGCAGCACGGAAGCACTTATAAAAGCTGCACAAAAACAACAATAATCACATTAAAATGTACCTAACCCTCATCAAAACATCTGGAAGCTAACTCAAATACATATTTAATGAGTTCAAACAACAAACCGTGTTGATAGCTGTCACTTCTAGCCAGCCTAGCTAGCTATGCTAATATCAGGCGTTCACATCTGGACTCAAGACAGCTGTTTGAGAAAAGTGACAGGCTTTTTGTTTTGATCTTTTTCTTTTAATTATCGTTATTATTATTTACGTCAGGGGGGATTTGAGGGCACATGGCCCCTGACGTGAACCCCCCTCTCTCTCTCTCTCTCTCTCTCCTACAGCGGCTAAGTTAGCATGCTAATCTCATGTCTCCTCGCTTTAGCTGACGTCGATCAGCTCGCGCACATCTGCAGGCGAGGCTAGCTAATGGTGTTCCAACTTTGTTATTGGCTTTTTAAAAATAATTAAAATAAAAGAGGGGGGGGGAGAAGAGGGTAAAGTGTTAAAACATAAATAAAACAACTAACTGTGCGGGGTGGTGTCGGGCTCCGGTGGTGTCAGTGTTGTGGGGAAGCGGGTGTTTACTCTACCGTTCGGCGGCTGTCTGGGAGCAGTAGAGGCCGACGGCCGGTCGACATTCCCCGGAGTGGCCGCCGCTGTCGCTCCGCTCTGCTCTGCTCTGCCCCCCCGCCCCCGGTATCGCTGCGCAAGATGGTCCCGATGCTGTTGTTTCGATAAGGAGAACCAGCCGGGGCGGTGCGGGCTTTTAACGGAGGCTCGGACGGTGATTAATCACATCGGCGTGTCTGAGCTGAAGTTTGGCGTCACCTTGCAGCGGTTCATGACTCCCACGGTTTGAGATGAGAGAAGAAGAAGAAGAAAAAGGGGGGGGGGGGGGGGGGGG